AGAGAGAGAGAGAGAGAGAGAGAGAGAGAGATAAAGACATTCTACAAATATTAATGACTTGGGAAAAAAAGACAAATATAGTTTCAAAAGTCCTCACAGAAGACATTAAATTCCAGTCAGTGCTCCTACAGGCAGCTCTACATTATTATGATTTGGGGACTCAAGTTTTTCCACCCGTTGTGTCTGCATTTTAACTTGTGTTTTGTTAATTTAAAAAAAAGTGCAATATGTCATGTATTTCTGTATTTATCATTCAAAGATTCAAGTTGCTTTATTTGTTGCTCCACCACATGTGGTACATGTGGTGGAGCAACATTGTGTCAACAATCATCATTTATCATCATCATTATTTATCATTTTTCGTATTATCTGTTTCGTCTCTTTATTATATGTAGATATTTTCATCTTTAATTTTCATCTTTAAATCACTTCTTGGTCTGCTGCCTTCATACATCTCCTCCTACATGTCTCTGCGTGAGTGCAGCTACAGCGTGCGCTCTCGGGACATTATTACCTGCAGTGTTCCCTCAGTGAGAACTGAACTGGGCAGAAGAACCTTCTTCTACTCCGCTCCTGATTCCAGGAACATCTTGCAAAAAGATGTGAAGCTCTCGACCTTGACCGCACTAAGTGGTTTCAAACATCTGCTAAGTTCATGGCAAAAAACAACGCAGACATGTTCCTGTTTTTAGTATTTTATATCACTTTATAATGTAGCTGCTTTTGTTCCGTTTTATTTCATTTCGTTATTTACTTTTCTTTTATATGCTTTTTTTTATATGATTGTCTAATGTTGTCTACCTCATCTGTGTTCTGTTTAAAACAGGTCTCATGTAAATGAGTCATTGAGGCTCAATGAGACTAACCTGTATAAACAAGGGTTGAATGAATACAAAAACAATAAATTTGGACCTGCGTGTTAATTTTATAGCTTTTATTTTTAATCCATGACTATTACTTTTTATGCTTTAAATACTAAAATAAATCTTGATAAGAAGAATACCTTGATTTTTTCGATTTTTTTAATTTAAGATTTAGGTACAAATTTGCTAAAACCAATATGAAACAGTCCTCTCTCCATAAAACAAACAAAAAAAGCAAATAATAATAATAGTAATAATAATAATAATATTAAATCTTGCTGTAAAATTCAGTTCTATGCAGAGCCAAACACTGGGCATCAGGACAGTCGGTGCTGTCGAGTGTTGTTTTCTAACGGTCTGACTGTAAATAAATGGGCTAATTTGCTTTGACTCATGTAGCAGGTGAATAATCTGCAGGCAACAGTCAGGCCCATCTTCCTATCCACTCACCACCGGCTCTCATATCAGGTCTCTTTCTATTCACCTCCCAACAGAGTCAACACGCCGAGCTCCATTCAGATACATTTCCTTTTGTGTGCTTTACGTCGACTGTGAAACAAAACCCACGATGTTTGCAGAACACTTAAGATCCATGTAAAAGACTCTACAGCATATTCCAGTATTTGCCCCTTTTTGAAATTCAAATAGAGGATGATGTTCAACCATCCGAATGACGCAGCCAATTGTCTTTTCTGTTCCTTTCATTTCCTTCCTGCTCGCCTTCCTGCAGGTGAAACGCCGGCGTCAGGTGTCGCTCTGAAAGCTGACCTGCACTCATGACTTATAGATGACTCACATCATTTCCAATCAATTCACCGTGCTGTGACAGCGTGCAATAAGAGCCACTTAGCAGCCAGATGGGCCGATCCCCAGAACTCTCTAGAGTCAATGATCAGTGGTAAACGTAGCACCCTGGCAGGTTATCAAAGTCTTACATGACCCAGATCAATCGGACAATCACTTTACAGACCAATTAGGCAACGTGAGGTTTGATATGCAACCGGGGTCGACCCAAGCAAAGTCCAAACTCTGAGATGTGCACAAATGTTTGTTGCCACGAACTATCACACTGATATCATCTCATTCTGTTCAAGCACACGTAGAAAGGACTTTTTACCAAAAGTCTGCACACATTTAAAACTACTTCCTAACAGTCCAGAGTCACAGATGATGAATCTGGTGTCCTTCCCCCCCTGCTTCACCACAGAGGAGTTGATAACAGATCAGGTGGGAGGACCGGTGCATCATTTGCATCACTTTACTGTTTGAGTGGTGGGGAAGTTTGCATGTGTGAGATCGTTCTGCTGTTGATAACGAGCAGGCTTATTCAGGAAGCTGTGAGCAGCGGTCTATCCAAATATTCCGCTGCGGTACAGATGGTTCAGCATCATCACGGTGAAGACTGGCATGGCGCGGCCAACCTGCTGGAGCACGGTGACCATCTGCTGCACAATGCGATGCAAGCCAATAACAACAACAAGGATAACCATGCTCACTACAGTGGAATGCTTCCCAAAGATCACAAGCGGGGGTGAACCCTGTGGATATTTGGAAAACAAAAGGCTCAGAAATGTTTCACAGACAACAGCAGGGACATCTTGCAACCCTTTGATACCCGTCATGTAAAGCCATTCTAAATTTGGAACAATGCAACTGCGCAGGAAAACACACTGTCCTCTCGTACGTTTGGGCACATTTCTAATTGGAACTACTGCATGAGTGGTCGGAAAATGTTTTTCAGAGGCGGCGGAGTGGAAGGAGGCAGCGGCAGGGACAGTGAGCTCATGTCTGAGGCTGCGAGGGGAGGTCCATCAACGAGACAGAGGCAGAGTCTGCCTTTTCCTTTCCACTTTCAATGTGGCCTTTATTCACCTGCGAGACTCTGGTAACCCCACCCTGTTCAAGCCACACTTTAAAAACAGTCACGCCCTGCACTTTAGCATGGAGCGTTTCAGAAACACACCCTGACTTAAGTATGTGACGGCCAGGAAAAAAAAAAAAAACGACACGTTATCATTACTGCAGCAATGCAGATTTAAATGCAGCACCGCAAAGACACAAGCGGATCCTTAAATTAAAGTAAAGATTGGGTCTAAAAGTAAGAGACCATAAAAAGCTGCCTACATGAGAGTGGGATACATACAAAACCTCTCATCCCACGGATAATCCCAGCATGCAGTGCACACACAGACAGCTGGAAAGTCAAGTTTCCATCACCACATAAAACATCATAAAGCCCCTCGGGAAGACCTGGACCCCCACGTTTTGTTAAAACTGTGCATGTGGGTGCGTTCAGAGGACTGTGATGGTCTAGTGAGGCTCCATCGCTGCCGCAGCACGTCTCAGAGGCTGAATGTCCTCACGGTGTCATTTGCATTAGCAAAGTGAATAATGTTGTGATTGGTGTCCATAAGAGCACAGCGATCCACACAGCTCAACGGGGAGGGGTTACCTTTTAATTATTTATTTTACATGAAGCTTTACATCAATTAAAAAGGGTTTTAAATATACATATAAATGAAAACAATGAAGCAAATATTGCTTTTTAATTATACTTTTGGTGATTTTGAATGCTGTCTGCTGCCGAATACAAACTGTGGGACTAACTTAAAGTAAACCTTAGTTCATCATCATAAACATGTGACCCAGAACAAAAGAGGGGCTTTTAACGTTTGACTTGATTGACGACAATAAAGGTTATAATTTACAGTCACTACCAGGTTAAATCAATCATTTGTTCCATTATCTTTGAACAGAAACAATAAAATCGACTTCATGCAGTTCAAGAATGAAAATGACAGATCAATGATCGTATTTAAGTAATGAGATTTTTCTTACATTACTCATCCTAAGTAAAGGTGGACAAAACTAAGCTACAAGGAATGAGCAACGGTTGGTTATGACTCAACATTTGAAAATAAAAGCAGGTAAAAAATACATGTAAGGGTGAAATAAGCCCATAATAGTCTTCCAGAAAGCTGCTTACCATAGAGGGCCTTGGCGCTGAGCTTGCTGTCCGATCGGGCCACTCCACTGCAATGACAAGAGCAGGGCCTGGAGTTACGCTGGATACCCTTCATCTTTCACCTCCCTACAGCCCTGGATGGACGCCACAAACTGTCCCACTCATAAACATAACACCCCACTAAGATATGAGGGTGAGACCCAGAGAGCAGACTGGTCAACACTGGTTCCCGAGCTTATGAACCAGAGGAAAAACAGGGAGAGTGAAAAAGGGAGAGAGAGGGGAGGAGGGAATGGAGGGAGCCAGAAGCCCCGGCAAAGCAAACAACTCAACAGAGCTGCTCTGTGCCCAAAGTCCCTGACCCACATCCCCTTCCACATACAGTTAGTGATTCTGTCGTGGCTGTTCACCAGCCGCTCACAGAAAGGTAAATATGTAGAGGGCAGCACAGGAATGTGTGTGAAACTCACTTGGCCTGCCTCGACTGAGGTCCTGGGGCACTCATGATTTCAGGCATCCACCTGGATGAGAGAAGAAGAGAAGAATTTGAGAAAAAACAGGAGGTTATAATGACGGACCGAGAGAGGAAATGTGTGTTCAAGGAGGGGGAAAGTTATTTGCGTAAGAAAAAAACAGGCAGTTTAAATGCCTGTTTTTTCGAGTTATACTCTTATCTGATTAAAGTTAAGTCATTAAATATTACTTTTTTTCCTCTCTTTCAGCTGCTCCCTTCTTCAGGGGTCGCCACAGCGAAATAACTCGCATGAAGACATGGCGATTGTTTTTACACTGAATGTTTTTCCTGACACAACCACAGAGCACCGAGCTACCACAGCCCTCTGTGTGGAGCAGAGAGCTGACAGCCAGGGTGCCCAGGGGAGCAGAGGTGTTTTTATTTATTAATATAATTATTCATTTAAAAGAAACAAAACAAATTCATCAAAAAGACTGAATGAAAAGAGTGCAGAAAGAAGAAATAAATTCTTATAATATCTGCCCCTTATTTAAATAAAACATAAAATAACTTTACACAAACAGTAGCTTAGGCTTGAACAATCTCCAAAGTGAAAACAAAAAACATCGGGCATTCTTCACATGGTACCATACGTTCCTAACAATTTTAAGTTAATCTTCTTTTTAAACATATAAACTGTTTTAGAAATGTTTATGGTGATATCAAGACAATTCCACAATCCTGTTTTTGAATTACAACGCAGCTCCTTCACACTAGTTCTAAATGGAGGTTTTACAAACATTTCCATTCCCTTAAGGTTATAATGACTCTCTTTTTTAAAACTAATTTTAACTGAACATTTGGGGGTAATTTTTATGAGCTTTATACATGACTTGTAAAATGGTCTATTTAACCAAATCATAAATTTTAATAATTTCAGTTGATGAAATAATAGATTTGATGGCTGTCCAAAGCACTTCCTACTAATAATTCTTATAGCTCTTTTTTGTAAAATGAAAATAGGGTTTGTAGTTGTTTTGCATGCTTTTCTCCAAACTAAAACAATAGATTAAATATGGAACAATAATTACATTAAACAATATATAAAAAGCTTTGTCATTCAAAAACTCGTACTTTATACAGTAATACAATTTTTATACTTAAGTATTTTACATGAAATTTCCATGTCAGCTTCTCATCAATAATGACACCCAAAGATGTTATTTCATTAATTCTATAAATTTCAGTACTGTCAATTTTAAATGAGACTTCAATCATTTTATTTCTATAACTAAATATCATGTAGTTTGTTTTTTCCAAGTTTAATGATAACTTATGAAATTGGAACCAAGTTTGTATTTTGACGAATTCTGCCTGTATCATCTCTAACATCCATTCAATGTCTTCACCCGAACAAAAAAATGTGGTATCATCTGCAAATAAAACACATTTCAAAAGCCCTGACACATCAACCAGATCATTCACAAAATAAACAACTTTGGCCCCAACACAGAGCCTTGAGGGATTCCACATCCATTAACACAAAATTTAGATCTTCCATCGTTTATCTGTACAAACTGTCTCCTATTATTCAAATAACTAGATACCCACTGTACCCAGCAGACCGTGGGGGTTAAGGGGCTTGCTCAGGGGCCCAGGGTGGGGCAAATGAGGGTGGAGGCAGGTGTGGGTGTTTCACCTTTCCCTCCCACATTTTGATGTTGTTGGTCCAGGGAGTTGAATCGGCGACCCTCCGATCACAGGCCCACCTTCTCTAGCCTCTGCGCCACCACTCCCCCCTCCCCACCCTACATATTAGACTTTTTTTTAATCACAGATTTAGTCAGAAATAGCTTCTCACCTGTACCAAAGCAGCCAAGCTTTGACTCAGAGACTAAAAAACATTTTGAATTAACCAAACATCATAAGGCTCCTTGTGACGGTGCCAAGGTGAATAACTCCAGCAAGAATTCACACATTTACTCCCCTCTATTTAACACTGTACAGAGCAAATAAGAACCTGATAACAACGAGGTGATGCTGATAGTAAACCTGTTTAAAAAAGTCTCAGCAGCAGCTCTACCAAACTTGTTGCACCAGAAATGAAGCATATCAGCTACGTTCTATTTAATCAGTAGCAGGAAAACTAGACCAAGCTTATAAACTAAGCACCATGCATACTCTTTTTAAAGAAAACGCTAGACTTAAACAAGTTCTATATGTGAGATACCAATGATACAATACTGTGAGCCACTACCAGTTTGTTTCTGGATGTTGTGGCTGCAGCTTCTACCTGCAGTGGTTAAGAAAATCAGCTAATCAACACTTATTTTTCATTAATTTTCCCCAAAATAAAAAAAAGTAGACGGCTAAATATCATTTGCATATCATTCTGTTACCAATAATTTTACAGCATCAAATCAAACTCTTTAAATTCTTAAGTCATCCCTCTTTTTTTTAACAATGTTCAGTCAGGTCATCTGGATGGTTTCTTTAAAAGAAGAAGTCCTCTGGATGAAGAATGAAACGTTCATCCATCCATCCCATCAGATTTGGAGGAACTTATCTTCATCCTGGCCATGTCGCACTTGGCTGCGAACCGCTCCAGCGAAAGCTGTAGATCACAATCTGATGAAGCCAATAGGACCACATCATCTGCAAAAAGCAGAGACACAATCCTAAGGCCACCAAAACAGATCCCCTCAACACCTTGGCTGTGCCTAGAAATACTGTCCATAAAAGTTATGAACAGAATCTGTGATAAAGAGCAACCTTGGCGGAGTCCAACTCTCACCGGGAACAAGCCCGACTTACTGCCGGCGATACGGACCAGGTTCTGACACCGGTCATACAGGGACCTAACAGCCCGTATTAAAGGTCCTGGTAGCCCATACTCCCAGAGTACCCTCCACAGGGTTCCCTGAGGGACGTGGTCGAACGCCTTCTCCAAGTCCACAAAGCACATGTAGACTGGTTGGGCAAACTCCCACGCACCCTCCAGGACCCTGCTGAGAGTGTAGAGCTGGTCCAGTGTTCCATGACCAGGATGAAAACCGCACTGCTCCTCCTGAATCCGAGGTTCGACTATCTGACGGAACCTCCTCTCCAGAACCCCCGAATAGACTTTACCAGGGAGGCTTAAGAGGATGAAACGTCTCAGAAAAAAAAAAAAGATAAAAAAGAAAAAAGAAACCAGATGACCTGACTGAACATTGTTGGACTTTATACCTGGATTATTGAGCATGAACTTTTCCTCTTTTTTATCAATCAACCTTTATTTATACAGGTAAATCCCATTGAGCCTCGAGGACTCATTTACAAGAGAGTCCTGATTTCAACAAAGAAAGATGACAACAATGGACAACAGCAACAACAGTAAACAATTATAAAAAGTCATAATACAGTTTTTTTTTTTTTTTTTTTTTTTACAAATAGGATGGCTAAAAGGAAAAGGTAACAAAAAAAACAAAAAAAACAGCTAGATTCTAAGGCAAATGTAGAAAACTAAAAACAGGAACATGTCTGCATTGGTCCCTGCCAGGAGTCCAACAGATGTTTGAAGCCACTTAGAGAGGTCAAGGTCGAGAGCTTCAAATCTTTTTGTAAGATATTCCAGGAAACAGGAGCGGAGTAGGAGAAGACCCTTTTATATTTTGATTGAAAGACTTTCATGGGGTGCGTGTAAATTAATCTTGATCAAAAGCTCTCCAGGCTTTTTGGAGTTCTTTCAAAGTCTTTCTATTGGCTTTTGCTGCTTTTTCGCTCATTTTCCTGTACGTTTCAGAAAAATATGTTTGTTTGTTAAGACACTTAAAGAATCATTCAGGGTCCTCAAGAAATGAACCAGTGTTTTGTCGACAGAACTAATTTTAAATGTAAAGTACTCTGTTACAAGAAGCCTGTCCTAAATGCACAGTTTGCATTTCTTTAATTGAATCTATGAAAACCACCAAAAGCAAAACAGTTTAATACACAAAACCATTACCACCAACAAGCTGATTCTAAAAAAGGCTACTAGCTGAACGACACACAGGAACAGCTGAATGATGGAGCCTCTCTGACGGCCTTAGCTGATTTATTTCCCTATTTCTCAAGACCGAGACGCTGCTCCTCTGCTGGAGGTAGCTTTTTGGTCATTCGCTTTGTTTAATTTTTTTTATATAAGCACACTCATGGTCAGGTACAGGAACTGGATAGGAAACAAGTGAAAAAGCCGCTGAAGTCCAAAGAAAAACTTTAAAAGTTTGAACAGCAGTGGATCAAGACTTCTTTACAAACATTACAAGAAAGTATGGCTCCTTGGAAGCAAAATATGAAGAAATGTGGATTGGTTTAAAACTTGTGCTCTGTACTGTGTGCACTCTTTGTGCGCCACATCTCTCACATGGACATTTCACTGGTACTGTTGCTGCCTCTTAACAAGAATTTCATAAATGTCCCTTCAGTGTTGCATGAGGGCTGCTGTCATTCCAGCATCTCGCTGCACTTCCAGTTTAACACAAAACACCCATGAAGGTAAATGTGCTGAGAAGTTACAGCTATGACCTGCAGCCCACTTTATTCAACATCACTTTATACATAAACAATGATTCATAATCTAGAGGTGTCCTATTTAATTTGAAGATTCATTCTGTCCAACACAACCTGCTCCTCCCAGCTTGTGGTACGGCACTGCTGGTCTGCTGAGCTGTTCTGGGACAAAGGGAGACAGCAGGCTGATATGCTCTGTGTAATTAGAGACAGCCTTTGACGACTATACCTGCATAGCTGAAACTAATTAATTCAAACGAGGGTTTTCACACATAGACACACCAACTATTTGATTGGCATTGACCGCGTGGTGTCCAAGGAGACAATGTGTAACACAGCACAGCGCCTAAATTGGAGAGATTAAAAGGAGCATAAAAGGAGAAAACAAAGCTCTTCCACACCCTTTGGCCTGCAGCTTTTGACTCCAGTGCACGCACAGACAGGTTACGCAACAGTCTTCACCCAGACTGAACACAGAATGGTGTTTTCTACGTGTGGATGCTAAAGATGCAGCACGGCAGAAGAACATCCAACTGG